TATTCACTATTTGAATAATCAACACTGCATAGTCTTCATTTTATAATTTTTAATCTTTATTAAATGTACTATTAATGTCTTGTGGCCGAATGTTTTAAAATTTGAAATATTGAAGTGTTCTCACAGTCACAGGCCTTAAAGGGACAGTTCAATCAAAGATTAACTCGCTATTTACTCACACTTTACTTGTTTTAATACTATAGGAGTTTAAATCATATTCTATTGTATCAAATTATATTCTTTTTGTGTTCATTTAAAAAAGAAAACTCATAAATGTTTGAAACAAGTGAAGGGTGTAATAAAAATAGTAAGTTTTTTTGGGTGAACTATCCCTTTACAAATGCATGCAGATGATAAACTTTTATTCCATTATGATTAAACTGCATATTAAACTATAATCTCAATATTGAATACCCTTCAATGTGACTATTCCAGATGCACACATTGCGATATCGATGCTGAAACTGTATATTGTGCAGCCCTAACTTGAATATAGGTTTGTTGTCTTTACTTCTTTTCTGTTCTTGGCCAAAAACTTGCTCTCACATTGTTAGTGCTGTGTAAGCATTATCAAAATCAATTTTACATAGATATAAAAGCAAATTTATACAGAATAGATTGTTGCGTTCTTTGATATGCTGCAACATGTTTGAACGTCATTGTTTTTCTTATTCATATACCATGTATATGTAGACATTACATGAAACATTACATCATGAAAATGTACTTGTAAGTTTTGGAAAAGTCTTAGAAAAGTCATGGAATTTTAGTAGTAAAAATGTGTTGGAATCATTTATTTACAGCTGTATTCAATTTCTATAATTCTACCAATTTGTCGTTCTCTTGCTCCATTTTTCTTTCTAGCCATTTTTTTTTTCTTGTAATGGTCAATCAGTTTATCATTCATTCTATTTATCTGTCTTTTTCTCACTTTCCATGACTACTCTCACCCTTTAATTGTTCTTATTTGCTCAGATTCTGCTGTAGCAGGAAGAAACATCAGAGAGCCATAGTAATTCCTGTGCCGACTGCAGTTTTTTTTCTTCACATTGCACGAAACGCTCGCAATTATTGCTGTTGCGGTGCTTTATGTGTGATAGGGTGACGGCATCAGACAACATTTCCCCTGCTGCGGAAGATGCTTCCCTTTTGTCGCCTATTTTGTCTAATGGCCTTTTGCACATCATTTGTCGGTGGTAATTGTAGTAATTATTTAGCAAGCTACAGTCGAGAGAGAGAGGGAAAAAAAAAGAGAAGAAAAACCTGAGCCCATTAACTTGCCATAAACATTAAAACCATTTTAAACAGTCATTGGATTTGAGAGCATTAGCAGGCAGAAAAATAAGCACTACACTGAACCATCATTTGAATATGGAGAGGTGTGTTATGCCGCTTTATTTAAGGATTTTGCTGATGTCATGGCAAATGATTATGAAAATGTGCTGCTGAGAAATTGTGAAATATGACTCTAAAATGTATTTAAATTGCATTCATTGTAGCTCCAAGTTAGCACAATGTAAATTTGCCACAGAGTAGATTTGATTAACAATAAAGAAATGCTTTACTTTTCCTTTAAATTAGCCATTTTAGCCGTAAAAGAGCTTAAAGAAAGACTGCTTAATTTAATAACATTATCATTATAATAAAACTATTTGGTGCACATTAATTTATGCAGAATGTACATTAGTGACATTTAAATAGTTACATCATATTTAATAACTTAACAACTAACTGCTTTTATTTATTTATATAGCTGCTCTATAAACAGTTCAATCTGTTCACGCTGCTGTAATTAAATATTGTTGTATTGTTCTTGACAGAGAGCTATTTGTGTTTGTGCAGTGCGTGAGGTGCAGGAAATGAGAGAGGACCTGGACGTGGACCCAGAGGAGAACAGTGCAGAGTTCATGGGGATTCTGATTAAAGCTCTGGCCAAACTCAAGAAGATCCCTGAGACCATTAAAGCCATCATGGAGAGGCTGGAGCCAGAGCTCAAGCAGATCCTCAAGAGATCCACCACTCAGATTGCTGACCATGCCTACCAGAGGGGAGAGAGCCTGGCACAGGACAACCAGCCCAGGTTAGAGCTCATGAAAAGAAAGGTCAAACAATATAGCATGGTAAAGCAGACTTTTGGCCCGTTTCCACTGAGTGGTACAGTACAGTTCGGTACGGGTCACCTTTATCAGGCTTGCATTTCCACTGTGTAAAGGGTACCATTGGTGGGCGTGGTGTGTGACAGAAAACTTTAGTCAACATCATTTACGCTCAAGAAAATGTTAAAATAAAGCTGTACGGGTTGTTCACATATTATATGAGAAGCACTTCTCACAAAACAGATGCTTTTTACCCAAATACTTGTGTATAAATGTTCATTACTAACCTTTCTATGAACATGATTTGATTATAACTGCAGATAAATGATGTGTGCGAAATAGCCTACTGTAAAGTCTGTAATTATATAAAATAAATAAATAAATGCAACATATATGAACACACACAGCCCCTTACAATCTTGAAGAAGATATTTTTTATTCTTTAAGTTCATATTTTCAAAAAGTATGCTGTTAACATAACATATTATCAAGTTAATGTAGCATCATGACAATGTATGTAAACACTTAGTCCTTTTGCAAAAGTGGCATCTATCAAGTGACCTCTCTGGAAAAGCCGTTGCTTACGTTCACATGAGCTAGTAGGCTGAGTGCCAAGAATAATAGGACCACCTAGCGTAAAAACTTATCCAAGGATGGTCAGGAGTTAAAACGAGACACCTAGGGTTGTGTCGTCAAATAATCTTTATAAAGATTATGGAAAGCACAGAGACTTTAGGAATTGTCCAGGAGAGACTTCAGAATGCTCTGAGGTCTGCTCTGCACTTTCTCAGCTTTTTTATGGAGAATGAAATCTATTTTCTGATATTCAAAACCTCCTGGCTTATAATTTTTAATTGATAAAAAGTCGGCAATTATGACAAATGACACCCAAGATGGGCCTGAAAAAGACAGTCTCCGATATGTTACCAATTATAAAAAAAACTACACATAGCATACATTTAGTCCTTATTTGGGTTCAAAAACAACATGCAACAACATATAGCCCACTTTTGAAGCAATTGATAGATTGCCTGGGAGAGTTTTTAAAAAGCTCCACACCAAATAAGCCAAGAGAACTAATTTTTTTTTTTTTTTAATCAAAAAGATTGTGGTTTGTTTTCTTTTAATTTCTTCCATCTCATTTATCTTTTGTTTTTCCTTTAGAAATGAGCTTTCTATTTTTTTTATCACAAACAAATGCATAAAAATCATAATTTCTGCTTGTTTGAGAAAAAGAGACCCAGTCTATTTTTATTCTTGTAAATAGGCACAGACTGAATAGTTGCTCAGCGGTTCATTGTTCCAAACACTCATAATTTAGGCACTTATTTAAAGACGTTTAACTTCACTTGCACTTCATTTACCACATGATGTGCTTCCTAGTGCAACTACATAATGTAAGAGAACGCTTTATTTTGTGAGTTGACTTGTGATTGTACTTTGAAAATTGAAAGGTTAATCTTTCATAATATTGGCTGATTTTTAGTTTCCCTTCCCACATGTCCTTGATCACATCAGATTATGGAAGTTGCTTCTGAAGTCGTAATGTTTTAATAGAAGATTATTCAAACATATGGTATTTCTTTACGTTAAAATGCACTATTAAATCATCCGCAGGTCGAGAGTTATTAAGTAAACAGGGTCGGTTTTGAGTTCAGGCTGTCCTTAAATGACGTAAGAAATAAAAGCTGCCATTGACAGTCACTTTAGATGGTAGTTCTCCCTCTTGCAGTGATTTTGTTTTTAAGGGAAGCGCTTTGGCAGGCGTTTGTACTGAAGTGTGATTGGTTTCCATTGTTTTCCTTCTTTATTGCGCTCTCTCGCTTTACCCGATGATGGCTTGCAGGATCAATGCTCTCATCTGTCATGTGGCATTCATACCTCCCTCATTTCCAGAAATGGAGTAATCCATAAAAGCGAGCCGTGGCCAGTGCCTGCTTAAGCAGCGGCTCTCACGGAGAAAAACAAAAGCAAGGGAAGAAAAGACAGATAATGAAGGCTGTTAAAGAAACGCTCTTAACCCAAGGCTAAAATGAACTCTCAATCGTTTATTTTTTCAACGCCATTCTCTGGATTTTAATGTTTGCCCCCACTCTTTTCTCCAATGGGCGAGAGAATATCTGCTGACTTTTCATTGTGGGATTTTAATTAAATAAACGAGGGCTTTTCATTGAAAGCAGTGATGATTATGCTGGAAACTTTAGTTTTATTTCTATTGTTCACAAACTCATCTAAAAACGATGTCTGCATACAGATGTGTGTGTGTGTGTGTGTGTGTGTGTGTGTGTGTGTGTTTCAATGTATGATGCATTCATACATAACACACAAAGCACTGCTCAATTAATATGGCATTTCACCTTTGCCATGTTTTATAGTACATGAAAGCATTTGAATGACCTGAGTGAAAATAAGGTCCCATTTTAAGCATACAGCAATTTCAGTGTTTACTTGTGTGTCTGTGTCTTGTGCTAACGTGTAAGTTGAGGTAGGGCTCCGTTTCTATGGAAACCTCATCAGAAAAAGCAAGTCGCTGCTGCATTACAGTTCACAGGGAAAACTGTGTCTTGATAAGGTGTTCTGAGCAGGTGTGATGATTGCGAAGCGACACAATCTGAGGCAGTCTGACAATATTTACTATGCAGTACATAGTTATGTGATGTAGGATGTGGGCCAATGGGATTTCACTGTGGGCATGACTATATTGCATAACACTGCAGAAATGGAGAATGAGTGATTCATTCATTTCTTTCTTTGTTTGTTTAGCCATTCATGCTTCTGGGTTGTTATAATATAGCCAGACCAGACCCATTATACCTATATTCCACCCATCCTACTCTTTGTCATTCCTACCATCTGTTCGTCCGTCATTTCATCCATCCATCCATCTGTCATTACTTCCATCCATCTGTCATTCCATCCGTCATTCCAGCCATCCGTCATTCCTTTCATCCGTCATTCCATCCATCTGTCATTCCTTCCATCCATCCGTCATTCTTCCCTTCCATCCATCTGTCCTTCCATTCATATGTCATTCCGTCCATCCATTCATCCATCCGTCCGTCATTCCATTCTTCCATGCACTCATCCATCCATCGAATTCTTTCTGCCATTCCATCCCTCCATCCATCCATTTATCCATCCACCCATCCAATTCTTTCTGCCATTCCATCCATCCATTTATCCATCCATTCATCCAATTCCTTCTGTCTTTCCATTCTTCCATCCATCCATCCAACTCTTTCTGTCATTCCATCCATCCATCCATCCATCCATCCACTTATTTCTTCATCCATTCATCCAATTCTTTGTCAATTCATGCATCCATCCATCCATCCATCCAATTTTTTCTGCCATTCCATCCATCCATCCATACATCCATTCAATTATTTCTGCCATTCTATCCATCCATCCTTCCAATTTCTTCTGTCATTCTATCCTTCCATCCATCCATCCATCCATCCAATTCTTTTTGCCATTCCATCCATCCATCCATCCATCCATCCATCCATCCAATTCTTTCTGTCATTCCTTCCATCCATCATCCATCCATCAATCCATCCATCCATCTATTTATCCATCCATCCATCCATCCGTCATTCCATCCATCCATGCACTCATCCATCCAGTTATTTCTGTCATTACATTCATCCAATTCTTTGTCAACTCATCCATCCATCCATTCATCTATCCATCCAATTATTTCTGCCATTCCATCAATCCATCCAATTCCTTCTGTCATTCCATCCATCCATCCATCCATCCACCTTTATTTATATTACATGTCAATTTATTCAATCAATCATTCCCTCTCATTATTGTGTTTATGATTTCTTTAATATTTGGCAAAATATAGCTATATATAGTTGCAATTATAGTAAAGAAATAAATATAGCAAAATATAATACAATTAAATATATTTCATACTGTGTGCCAATAATCAACTGGGCAATGCCAACAAGCCAAAATCCTGTTGTGTCTGTGTAAATAGCTGATGTGCTGTGTCTTGCCATTCTGCTGTGTTTATGTAAAAGGAGCGACGTCCGGCATTATATATGCTTCCATGTTGAGCCTGAATCAAGGGTTATGTCCTGTCCTCTGTAAATCAAGCTTAACATGTGTTATCATGCACCGTCTCTCTCACCGAACATCCATCATCTTCCAGTCTTCTACCTCCCAGCAATCCTAATACCCTCCATCATGCTGTCACCTCCAACCTCTCTATCCCGCCTACCAGTGTTTTTTTTTTCTTCTGCCTCATTTTACTGGGACGAGTGAGTAAACTCCACAAAAGTCAGACAGATGTGTGTCCTCCTAGTGGACCCGGAGAGTTTGACAGATGCTGCTAATTGTTGTTGGTGAACAGCTGCCGTTGCTCAACAGGGAGATTCTGTCAGCACCCTGCTGCTGTCATGTTCATTAGTAACAGAGAATGGACCGCTTTTTGGCTCGGTTTTGATGATGTGGAGGGATTTCTGACAGCATGACTGACTGCAGCGGTGGCTTTGTCTTGGAAAACGTCTTTAGATTAGTGGTTTTCAAACTGTACTCCAGGGATATCCCAAGGGGCCATTGGGTGGTGCTGGGAGTTCTGCAAGCAAACAAATAAAATAAATTAGCAAAATATGTACTTAAAGGGCTGTCAAAGTTAAAATGGTTACAAAATTTTTGTTGTTATTCTAATAATCGATATACTTAAAGGGGTGGTCCACTATGATATCATATTTTAAACTTTAGTACATGTGTAATGTAGCTGTGTGAACATAAACTACATCCCTGAATGTAATATGTTCAAAGTTCAATGCAAAGCAAGACTTGTACAGGGTTAGAGACGAAGTTAAGAGACTACAATAAAATACATCCGGGCTAGTGAGATCACAAGGGCTTCGAGTTATGCGGATTCACCATGCGCAAACACCCTGCGTGGCCAGAGGCGCTGTAATGTTATAGCTGAGAAAGCTTAAATGCCGTCCAAACGCTGCTATTTTCACTGAGCTCATTCTGTTTCTGTAATTGGGCCTACAAAGGACACGACACAAAGACTAGAAGTAGTATTTTTATTTGTAAAAACTGATCAACTACATGGATAGTTTTTAGCATTATCGGTATGTTGGGGGACGTAAACAAGGATGTAAACAACAGGAAATGCTGTTTGGCACTGTTAACAATTTAGCTTCAAATTTATTGGGGACCACCTCTTTAATGTGATTAATTATGATTATTTTATTATTAGTCCAATCTTGTTTAAAAATGTATTTTTTGTGTGTTTGTATAAAAAAATTTGTATTTATTTATTTACTAGCAAATTATTTTCAGGTATGGTTGGTATTATCTGCCAGTATTTGTATATGTTTTATGAGCTTTAATGTGTTGTTATTTTAAATTATGAGGTTAAATCGTGAGGGTTGTAATCTACTAATATTTTAAAATGTTCCTTTTTTAATTTTACAGTTGTTCTTATGGTTTAGTCTTTTTAAAGTTTAGTGTGTTAATATTTTGATATACTTATTTAGTACAGGAGTTATTTAATTCTTTTGAATTCATTTTGAATTTGTTACTCTTAAAACTGCTACCTTCTATTCTGATCTTTTAAAACTACTATTTACTGTAAAGTTACTTAATTTTTTTGTTGTTGGGGAAAAACACCTTTTTCTTTAGATCTATATTGATCTCTTTCTCTCTCTGTTTGCTTTTGTTTGCAAAATGAATTCGTCAGAATGTAGTTGTCCCTTTTGTGATCAAAAGGAAACAATTTTTCAATGTTTTATACATTGTGAACGTCTTAAAGATTTGTTTCTGATGCGGATCTTAAGGTTTTTTCATTTTTTCTAAGACTGTTTTGTTTTTGATTTCAAATTTGTAAAAAAGAAGAGAAAAAAGAACAAATTATTAATTTTGTTGTTGGAAAAGCCAAAATGGCAATTTACATTACAATAAAAGAAAGGATAGAGGGTAAAGTTTGTCGAGATGGGGGGCACTTTTGTAAGAGTTTATTAAAATGAGAATGTTAAGAATATTGAAGACTTTGAAAATTTTAAAAATAAGTTGTGCTCTGTTAAAGATGGAGAACTAATGTTTACAAAATGGCTTGAGTTAAATGTACCTTTGTTATATTGGTATGTTTACTATGGTATGGAATAAAGTAATTTTTTTAAAAATAAAAAAATCTCCCTCTGTCCCTTTATGTGTAGAAAAAAATAAATTTTCTTGTTAACTGTTACATTTTGTAACAGGACAAGCTAAAATGGCTGTTTATATGAGCAGAAGAAGGAAAATTGAACACAACGTAGAGCATAATGTAGTTGTTGTATTTTCAAGTATGGTACAGGCAAGGGTTTGACTGATTTTAATTACTATGAGCATATGGATGATTTGGTCACTTTTAAAAACATTTGGTGCTATAACAGGGCTGTATGGATCAGAAGAATGTTGTTTTTACTTTTATTTGAAATGAATATGGTCTTACAACTTGAAATAAATTGTTTATAGTTGTATTTTGTTTATTTTAATGTAATAAAGTTTTGTACAGTAAAACTCTCTCTCTCTCTCTCTCTCTCTCTCTCTCTCTCTCTCTCTCTCTCTCTCTCTCTCTCTCTCGCTCTCTCTATTTCCCTCTTCAGGTTGCTGCTGGAACTGCTGGAGTTGTTGTTTGATAAGTTGAATGCGGTGGCCCAGGCTCACAGTGTGGTTCTCAGTCACCTTCAGCAGATTGTTGTCTCTCCCAATGGAGCCCAGGAAGGGATCAAACTCTATGAGCAGGCTGATGTCTATGCCAAAATTCAAACTGTCCTACAGGTCAGTCCCTGCAGAGCCATTCAATGAAGCAGATCCTGTTAATTAGTTGATATTTTTTGGAAAAATTAAGTAAAAATGCGCATTAGCCACCACATAACATAAAAAAAATAAAATAAAAAAAAAAACGTAGTAAATTCTTGGGCATATACAATCTTGGCAACAACCCAGTGCTGTGAAGCTACACGCTTTCAGTCTTAATTGTCAGCTGTTTTTTTTAAACAAAATTGTGCTATTAACTTTTATTTACTGTAACTGTTGTTAATTAGTAGTTAACAAGAGCTGTTTACTGTTAATAACTGCTTCTCGTGTCACCTCTGTAAAACAGATGAGGTGAAGAAAGGAATTTGCGACTGAAGTTTTGAAAATAATTTACATGAATTTCCTCCAAGTGCTGTGTTTAATTGGAGAGTGTTAATTGGGAAGTGTTTACTTTCAGTGTGTATGGGTGTTTAGTAGCAGACTGATGGGCAGGTGAGATTACCAGCTGTTCACGTAACCTTTGAGAATCTCTCAAGAGGCCCAACATTAAGTGTCTGTTTGTGTGTTTGGAAAGTACCTGCTGGAAATCCTGCTGCAGGACGTCTATCTTTCTTTTTTTTATTAAATTGGTGAAAGAAATTGTTTTTAAAGCAAGAAACCTTTACTAAAATTAAAAGTCATCCACAAATGTTAAGTAAAATAACTGTTTGTTTTTTTTGATGGTATGGCATGTGCTTATATATTAAAGTTACTGTGATTTGTCACAATAACAGTAAATGCTGACTCTTTTCACACCACCATTAATAAAATGGGCCATTCTACAGCTTGATTTTCTTTCTCTGAAAGCATTTGAGAGTTTCCTTGGCTGTGCTTGGATCATTGTCATGCTGAAATGTCCACTCTGGTTTCATTTTCATCATCCTGGTAATGTAGATGTTGGACTGAAGCAGCTAATATTAATTTACAATGACGAAGGGCAGAGGGTTGCTGAATAACTACTGAGAGATTTCAGCTGCTGTCTGGGCTTTCACTGTCTTTCTACACCTTCCCTTCTTTATGTGTTCCATACTTTTTCCCTGTGTCATTTCATTTTATTACACATAACTTCATTTGTAAACTAATTAGCTTTGTTTTCTTTCTTTCTTTCTTTCTTTCTATATATATATATATATATATATATATCTTTGACTGTTATCAACATCTGGGGCCTCATGTATCAACGCTGCGTACGCACAAAAACTTTGGGTACGCCAGGTTTCACGCTCAGAATCGCTCACGTTTGGATTTACTAACAATGAACTGAACGTGGGAATGTGCGCAGCTTCATGGCAGCTTTCTGGCAGGCGTACGCACATTTTTTGTGCGTGTCTGTTTTATTTCCATTGGCGACTCCTAGAGGCAGTTGTGTTAAATTCCTCTCTACAAAGTGTCTGAGCCTTGCAATGGCAGCTGTATGAGACGGGTTCAGCAGGTATATAAGGTTTCCATACCCTACATTTGACCAGCTAAACATTAAAGCACAATTTGCAGCAGTCGCCTGTTTTCCCAATGTAATCTGAGCGATCTACCACACGCACATTGCTATAAAGACACTATCTGAAGATGAATTTGCATGCGTGAATCAGAAACATTTCCATTCAATAAATGTGCAAATAAAATATGATGCTTATTGATATGAACTTGTTGATGATTCCTACTTGTCTTTCTCGTGATAAATAGTTGGCAAAATCTGATATGTAGCGGGGGAAAAACAAATAAGAATTCATCAGACGCTGGATTCAAACCGAGTTCATGCTCGAACGTATCAATTCATGATCACATGCGTCTTGCGAGTAGCGCCACTGAGACTGTTAAGCATCCTGCAACATTTTACAGATATAAACCACACTATTTCTTTTTTTTAATGCACTCAGTGCGATGTTCAGACCCAACTGTGTTGACCGCATCTGCTAAACTCTCCCACTCTATTTTTTTCTTTTGTTGTTAATTCCGGAGAACAAACTTGCAAATAACACCGCTTTTCTCCGGTCTACCTCCGAAAGCAGCACCTCCAATTCACATTCTGTTCAAAGTTTCTCTTTTTGCTTGCCTTTGACATTGCTTTTTCGTTGGGTTTTGCCATTAGCATAGTCATTAGCATATTCATACGGGGGAGGAGGCAGGGAGGGGTTTTGTGCTCGTGCATGTTGCGCTCAGTTTCACGTTCATTCAGATGTACAAAAGAATATGCGTGAGATTCGGCGTACGCAGTGTTTCATACATCTGAATTTTTTTCTGCGTACGCACATTTACAGCTTTGTGCGTACGCAATGTTTTAGTAAGATTTCCACGCAAGTCTTCGTACATGAGGCCCCTGGTGACTTGAAATTTTAAGTCAACTGCACTTTTAGAAATGTAGGTGGTGTGTTCAATACTTATTTTCCCCACTGTGTGTGTATATATGTATATACATGTATATTAGTGCATTGTAGGCTATTTTGCATTAATCTTATTTCATTCAATCAATAGATTTGTCATCCTACCCAAGTACTAACCAGTTCTGGCCCTGTATACAGTAGCGTCCGAGATCAGATAATATTGTTTAAATAATGTTATTAACAAAACTATGTTTTAGTATGTGGGATGATTGTTGTAAATATGGAAGATGGTGTTCTTATGATGCATTACACAATGTTTACATGTTGCAGATCTTGATTTATTTTGCTCCACAAATTGTAAAACCACTTTAGGTTCAGATGGTATAACTAATTGAAAACTCAGATTTGAAGAAGATGTAATAACCCAACTTATTAATTTTGATATTATTTTTTGTATCATTCTTAATTGTTTTGTTACAGAATTCCATCTCCGTTCTCTCTTATCCTGTTTCTCATTCCTTGAGCACTCCTACAGAGCATTATTTTTCAGCTGCAAGCTACTGGAGATGCGGTCGTGCAATAGAGACAGGAATCGGTAGAAAGAGGGAGATAGAGAAAGAGATGGGAGTGGTGCTGCAGCTGGGGAATGAGTAAATGGGTTTGTCATCACTCCATCAAACAGGGTGAAGAGTCAGACTATGACCTTGTACTTTCCTCCTGTCTTTTTTCACTCCTCGTTTCAAAGCAGTCTGCAGAGAGCTGTAACGAAAGACCAGGCTTGGCCCTGCCAACTGTTGCTAAGGCCCCACTGAGCCGCTTGCAGACCTAAGTAATGAGACGCATCTTTCCGAGAGGTGACTACAGAAGTCAAAATATGCATTTAACTGCGTCTGATGAGGGCTTTGACTGCGAGCATGTGCGCTGTCTGTTTTTCAGCATTTATTAGCACAAGCACCTCGCACCCTTGCTAGCAACAGATTAATTTGTTTTGCTTCAGCTTGTCATGTTCTGTTCAGATAAAAAGCAAACGTCTTTGACATCCAAATTTACTTTTATATATTTTGGATTACCATTCTTTAGGTCAGCATTTAGGTCAGCATCTACTGAAAAAATAAGGTTTGTTTCAGTAATATTCAGTCAAATTATTACCATTTGCTTCTGCCTTTGGTGTGACGGTGCTTCTCTGTTGATGCCAATTTGATGGCTTCAGCCACCATACTTTTGACCACGCCCCTCCTACTGTTAGTTTGAAGGAAGCCCTGCCCCCTACTTAATATTCTGTTTCAGTTGGAACTACATCTACATACTGAAGTAAAAGTCTCAGCAACTTTCAGTTCACCCAGACTTTAAGTGATGGCAAAAGAGTAATAACCACGAATGCCAAATACTGTCTTAGAGATGCACTATTATGGAAATGTTGTCTAATATTAATAACTTTTTACGTTATGAAATCTATAACTAGGGCCAGACAGAATCAGTAGACTTTTCTTAGGTTTTTTAGTATTGTTAAAAAAGTATGTAAAATGAGTTTGAGAGTATAGGAGCTCAAAAAATACCTTTAAAATTCTTAACTTTTATTCAGAGGTTACAATGCAAATCAATTTGAACCACTTGTTTGGTAAACACAGCTACAACAGGTTTGTCATACATCCATTAAAAGGTAAAGAAAGTAATATTGTGCAAATTGTATTGCGCATAAATCATCTAAACATTTGCATATTATTCAGTAATATCACAGAGTTTTTAAAATATAAAACTGAATAAATAAATATTTATACACTTTTACATTTGTAAATAAACAGAAGTTTGACTAGTTATATATATGAGCAATATCACTCGAGTAGCAGTGCAATATGGCTGTATATCGGCACTGGTGAGAGGCATGCGTGCATTACTGTCCCACCAGTGACAATATACAGCCATATCGCACTGCTAGAAGTGTGATATTGAGTTCGACGACGTAATATAAAAAAGAAATATATAAAAAAGAAAATCCAACACGGAGATTCTTTTTGTGTGAGGAACTACTTTCTTCCACCATTCCTTCACATCTGCAGCATTTTAGAGCTTGTATTTGAATGATTCTCTAGCTTAATGTCTAAAGTGATGACAAAACAGGTGATTTTGCTCACATTTTAAGATTATAAGGCTAAACGGCATGAAATGCTATCAGTCTATAGGGATTTCCCAGTATTTTTCTCTTGCAATCAAGAGATCACAAAAATTAACCCAGAAAAAAAACAAAACAACTCAATCACTACCAGATTACTGTTGCGTTTGCGACAAGGAAAAACACTGAACACATGCGGGCATTTCTTCCTTCTTTCTGTTTACAGAACTAGTCTGCAGTAACAAAATCAGCAGACTCATTAGCAACAAACAGAAGGCCAACCAAAAAGTAAATGGGTTTGTCATCACTCCATCAAACAGGGTGAAGAGTCAGACTATGACCTAGTGATAGTGACTAGTGGCCCATCCCACACTTAATACACTACAATATGGTGTCAATACAGCACTGCAACATAAAAGAGAGAGAGATCAACTTAGAAGTTTACTCACCAATTTTATAATGTTTTGATCTGCTTTTCTGTAGTTCGAAATTATGCCAATATTAAACAGTCTCTATCGCCATCTTGTTCATTGACGTCAACCGTCTTTGCTCTG